TCTTTGTTTTTGTTTTTTGAGACAGAGTCTCCCTCCGTCACCCAGGGTGGAGTGCAGTGGCTCGAACTTGGCTCACAGCAACCTCTGCCCCTAGGTTCGAGGGATCCTCATTCCTCAGCCTCCCCAGTAGCTGGGATTACAGGCACCCACCACCATGCTGGGCTGGCTTTTTTTGTTTGTTTTTGTTTTTTGTTTTTTAGTAGAGATGTGGTTTTACTATGTTGGCCAGGCTGGTCTCAAACTCCTGGCCTCAAATGATCCACCTGCCACGGCCTCCCAGAGTGCTGGTGTTACAGGCATGAACCACTGCACCCAGCCAAGACTGCCTTTTCAATTCCAAGTATGCCAAGTAAAAAGGTCATGGAATAAGCAACAGAGAAAATTAGAACTAATGAGAGCAGAGGAAGAGCTTTTTGACAACATCCTTAGGGTTCACATAATTATTAGTACTTTTCTCCCCGCTTCTCTCCTTTGTGGTAATCACATATAATTTGATTGCCAAATACTAAATGTCTTACTAAACAGATATTCTTTGAAATCTCTAATTAATTTATTTCATTTGCTTGGTCATTCATTTGTTGTACTTGGAGACGTCAACAAATACTAAACATTCATTGTGAAAGCTTCCTTTTAACAATTGATTATTTTCAGATGAAGAAAAAATCTGTTTTCTGATTTAGTTACTTCACAAAGATAATTTCAAAAGTTAAGCACTCACTTAATCAAGACTTTAAAAAGCTTTTATTAAAACCAATTTTTTTTTTTAGGATGGTCTGTTTTAATTACAGAAAGGGTATTTTTTTTTTAGTTTTTGATCTCGTAGATGATTACTTAAATTATCTCCTTGCTTTTAGAAAATGCCTTTAGGAAATCCAGAGGAAAAACTGAAATGGACAGCAAAAGTCTAATATCCAGAGGGAGCCATGGAACCTAATTATCAGCAAAGTGGGATCATGTGTAAAAATGTGCACAAAACCAGGTAGAGGAGGCGGAAAGTTACTGCTGAGACATGTATATATAGCCATAATGAGTAACCTATTTTTTCACTGGTAACAGCCAGAAGGCTTCTTCATTTTGTTTCTTTACCACAGTTGAGTTGGGATATTATTAACATAGGGCCATTTGGTATGGAATCGGGAAGATTCATGCTGTTCCCAACAGCATTTCAGACCCCTCATGTATATAAACAAATTTGCTCACACTTACAAAGTTATCTTCTAGCAAACATGCACATTCTGCTGGAACTGACTGTCAGATATCTTCTTCCCAGTCTTCTCCAGGACTGAGCTCTGGCACCTCTTTCTCTGGGCTCTGGGAAGTCTCCCCACAGAGCAGACTGGGGTAGCCATTCTCACTACCCTGGAACTGTCTGGTTATATCAGACGTTATTCCTAGAGGGCAGGGCTGGCACACAATGTCTCTCTAATAAAAATGCATTTATAAATCTCTACAAATTATTTTTTTAAAAATTACTCAGTTGTGGTGGCGCACACCTGGGGTCCCAGCTACTTGGGAGGCTGAGGCTGGAGGATTGCCTGAGCCCAGGAGGTCAAGGCTGCCGTGAGCCATGATTGTGCCACTGCATTCCAGCCTGGGTGACAGAGTGAGACCCTGTCTCAAAAAAAAAGCAAAATTAAAATGATTATTTGTCATCTATGAATATCTTTCCTCTATGGCTCTTCGGGAGCCTTTTAAGGCCACATGTCAAATTCAGATTGTCTAGTTTCTTCTGTGTGGTTACCCTGTCTCAGCTTCTCCAGAGCTAATACGCAATTTGACAATTTACGGATGGTAGGCTTTTATTTTTTTTTCTTTGAAATTTAAGGAAAAAATTTATTGAAGATCTGAAAAACAATCCCTAAAAGATTGACTTTTCCAGAAAACTAGCTACACAATGCATTGCGTCTGTCATGTTAAAATGTGCTTTAGACACAAATACAAAAACCTTGAAACAAGCCACCATTCTTCAACAATTTGAGCGAAGATAAAATGCCTAAGTAACAACAAGGATGACTCGCAAAGGATGGGCTCTTCAAGCATCATAAGAAAAAGTAGCACAAATAGATGAGTGTGTTCAGTTATATATACTGAATTGAACCATTGGCACTAGGAATCAGAGCATTTTGTCATACAGCATTAACACGTGGATCAATCAGAACCAACTACTGCCACTCAGAGAGCCTACAGCTGGCTTGTGCCTCTTCCTCCCCGCACAGCTAAGAAAAAGGTACCATGACCTGGGTAAGTGAGTTTGGAAAGGTTGCTGACTTGTAAAGGTTGCAATCATTACAATGATGACAATGTCCATATTATACCTACCTGTTTACAATATTACCACATTTTCATGTATAACAAAGGGTGGGGTAGATGTAATGAGGTGCATGGGACTTTAAAACACCTGGGCTGAAAGTGAGGATATCTGGCTGCAAATTCTGGCTCAACTGCAAGTTTGGCTACTTTGAGAAAATCACCCTGCATAGCCTTAGTCTCCTCATCTGTAAAATGGGTACAATAATCCCCATCCGGCTTATCTTGTAGGCTTATGATGAGGCTCAAGTAAGATGCTTCCTAATCTTTTCAGCTTCATAGAAAAGGATAATTTTTGCTTAGCACCCTGGGATGAATGCAGATGTTGCTGAGGCTGGAAGTGACCACTGCTGGATACTGGCTGGACAGCCCCACTGTCCCTAGGGCTGTGGGGATTACTATTTTTGCATGTCTGTACATCAGTTAGAAAATTCTGCCATATGAGAAGCCTTAAAATAAACCTCAGTGCATAGCTCTACATGCTCATTTTCAGATCTATTCTCCTGTTATTTGTATATAACCTCCCACTGGAGTGTGAAGAATCACATTCAGACATGTAGAATGCTGGAACCTAGACCTATGGCCATCAAGTGGCAGGACATGAATGAGATCCCAATTTTGTCACCCCCTATGTAGTCACCTGACACGCTGGCTGTGCTTTCATTCATGCCTTGACCTCAAGCTTTTGTTGTTTTGGAAAACAAAACAAAACAAATCACTCGACTACTCATCAAGGTGACAATTCAGAGAAATGGAACATTTTGTTGCCTTCAATGTACAGCCAGATGATTCAGTGCAGTAGGGAGGCTGGTAAAATTTATATCAATGAGCTGACAATTTTATGATTGTCCACCTCTATGACCATGTCCATATATATATTCAAGCCTATACCTGTCTTCTATTCTGGCCATTAGACCTAATGATGGAGCTTCCCCATTTGTCAATGGGGATTACCATAGAAACTAGATTACAAAGTTATAATGTTGTTGAGAAGAACACAATCAGTACAAACACAATACAGTAAAGGTATATAAGATGCTTAAAATACTTCTGGCAGACTCTAGAAGTTAAGCATTCTATCAGTATTAACTATGAGTATTATAATAATAATAATAATAATTATTATTATTATTATTATTATTTGAGATGGAGTCTTGCTCTGTCACCCAGGCTTGAGTGCAATGGTGCAATCTCTGCTCACTGCAGCCTCCGCCTCCTGGGTTCAAGTGATTCTACTGCCTCAGCCTCCCGAGTAGCTGGGATTACAGGCACATGACACCATGCCTAGCTATTTTTTGTTGTTGTTTTTTGTTTTTAATAGAGACGGGGTTTAGCCATGTTGGCCAGGCTGGTCTCAAACTCCTAAACTCAAGTGATCTGCCCACCTTGGGCTCCCAAAGTACTGGGATTACAGGTGTGAGTCACTGTGCCCAGCCTATTATTACTATTTTTTGAGATGGCGTCTCGCTCTTTTGTCCAGGTTGGAGTACAGTGGCACAATCTCAGCTCACTGCAGCCTCCGCCTCCTGGGTTCAAGTTATTCTCATGCCTCAGGCTCCTGAGTAGCTGGGATTACAGGTGCGCACCGCCACACCCAGTTAATTTTTGTATTTTCAGTAGAGACGGGGTTTCACCATGTTGACCAGACCGGTCTCAAACTCCTAGCTTCAAGCGATCTGCCCGCCTCAGCCTCCCAAAGTGTTGGGATGACAGGCGTGAGCCACTGCGCCCAGTCAACTATGAGTATTATTAATCAAAACTAATTTTACCCATCCGTTGTAGAGAAATACAAAGTTAAAAAATAATGACTCTGCTCTGGAGAATTCCTTCATAGTTAATGAAATATCATTAGACCCTTGCACTCAAAGAAGAGCCACAGAGGCAGCATCGGGGAGATTTTAGAAATGCAGAGCCTCCAATCTACTGTGTGAGAATCCGCATTTTAACAGGATCTCCCGGCGATCTGTGAGCACATTCAAGTTTGAGAAGTGCTGTATTGGAGTAGCCCAAGGTGTATGCAGAAATCCTTAGGTCACTTGTACTTTTGGTAGGAATCAATCATGCAAAAAGCAGGACTGACTCAGAAAGTCTGTTATGTCTTCTTGATGATTATTCAGCTCTAATCTGGACCTCAGAAAGCAGGTTGTGGGGTAGAAGATTGAGGCCACTGGCACCTCACTAGTTAGAAGAAGGCAGTCTCATCAGAATAAAACGTAATGGATACATCAGATGCCCTAATGGAACAAGTCTAAGATCCTGTAACTGTCCTGGCACATATGAGGGGGTGGAACAAAATGAAACACAACACTTTTTTTTTTTTTTTAGATGTCATTCAGGTTGGAGTGCAGTGGCATGATCTTGGCTTACTACAACCTCTGGTTCCCAGGCTCAAGCAATCGTCCCACCTCAGCCTCCTAAGTAGCTGGGACCACAGGCTTGCGCCACCATGCCCAGCTAATTTTTCATACTTTTTGGTAAAGATCGGGTTCTGCCATGTTGCCCAGGCTCTCCTCGAACTCCTGAGCTCAGGCGATCCACCCACCTCGGCCTCCCAAAGGCTGAAAATGACAGGCTTGAGTCACTGCGCCTGGCCCACAACACTTTCAAAAGGAGGCAAGAGCATTAGAAAATCTGCCACAGATTTTTAAAAGGAATGTGAGGAGAGAACACAGGAAACAGTGCAAGTCACTTACATTAACCCAGGGATGCTCAAGGACCTGAACAGCAGAAAATCGCTGATCTACGTCGACCAACAGCATCATGGTAATGAGCTCCTGTGAAGGGGAACACTAGAGTCCATTTATCTGAAGTTAAGGTGAAACGCTGGATGTGTGCAAATGCAAGAGTTCTCTTTTAGTTTCAAAAAGCATTTGTAAAAGCTCTAAATCTTCAATACATCAACTCCACTTACCTGTGGCTACTGATCACCTTCAAAAGTTACAAATGGTAAGCAGTTGGAATTATAAAGACATAGCTTGTGGTTGAATAAAAATTAATATCAAAATCAATTTCATAAAAATGTTTGTAGAAAAGAAACAAATCATACAAGTTAAGGAATTAATATTCCTTTCTTTGTCTAGCATTTTGCACGTTAAAGACAAATTTATTAATTAGTTTAATATAGAAGTCACATTTAAAAAAACACTTGACTTAAAATTTCACTTTAGCAGCTGAAAGGAAAAATGAAACTTTCCCCCTAATTTCAAGACAGCCTACTTAGGTTTGAAAGAAAGGAATGAGGAAAGACATAGAATTGCCAACAGCTAGGTGGCAAGATAGACTTGATCCTTTAGTAGCTAAAGAACTCTAAAGAAATAAGTTAAAATTGCTTCAACAATTTCCAGACAAATCAATACAAACAAAAACGGAACTATTAAGAGTTAAACAATTTTATCATCCTGAAATTAATGGAACTTCCTTATGAGCTCAAATGGACTTGGACCAGGAATGCTCTACTTGGGTCTTAACGATGAGTATGCTATGCAAGTGTCCACTTTGGATTAGAAGTTCCCGTGTCACAAAATGGTTAGATATGCGTTATCCAGTTCCTTACATACACAGGCTTTATAGTACCACTCGGGAAGCAGGTGATTTCATTTCATTGAAGGAGAGAATTCACTCAGCCTTCTTCATTCACTTTCTAACTGAGACCAGAACTCGTGAAAGCATCTGCTGTGTGTAATGCCCTTTGCAGGTGCTATAGAGGTATAGCAGATGGTCCTATTTGTCAGTAACTATGAGCCCTCAGGTCATGCAGTGACGGCATGGGGAGCTGGACAGGTTCCTGAAGAGTCCCCAGTCCTGCAGCTGTATCGCCCCATCTCCTTTAGCCTGTGCTTTTCTCTGACACTCCCTTTCTGGCAGGTTCCTGGACAGTGGAAGAAAAGGAGAGACTTGCACCCAATATGCATCATTTTCTACACAAAGCGGTCGGGTCTGAGGAGTTGGCTTTTAAAGGGAACTCACACTCAGGACATGACAAAAGCAAAGGCATACACATTGAGCAATCAAAAGATAGTTATTTCTCAAGATAATTATTGAGAACATTTTTCTCAAATTTTCAAACATTTAAGTCAGCACTTGGAGACATAATACAAATTTTAAAAAGAGCAATTAAAAGGTTTTCCTTTTTCTCCTCAAGGTCTACAGACATCTCAATGTAAGATTTTTATAGCCTTCTTAGAGGTTGATTTATTATAAATATTATTTAATGTGGTAAAATATACATAAAATTTACTACTTTAACCATTTTTAAGTGCACAGTTCACTGACATTCGGTACATTCATATTGTTGTGCAACCATCACCTTCATCTGTGTTAAGGATTGATCTTTTAGTTTCATGGGATAAAAACCATGAATCTTGTGTTTTTCTCCCCCTCTGCCTGTAAATCCTGGCTATTATTCAAGGTTCAACTTAAATCATAGCTTCCCCATAAAGTCCTTCTTGATGATTTCAACCTACATTGAGGTTGAGTTTTCTTCCCTCTGATTGATTAACTGATGGATTCATTCATTTATTCAATATATATTGAGCACTAGTATACTGGTCATACTTTAGGCAGTGATGGTACAGCAATGGACAAAATAGATAAAAATCCCTGCCTTCACAGAATTTGCATACTACTAGAGAGTCTGGAAATTAACTAGATAAAGAAGATATGCCTACCTATTTATATCTATCTTTTTTGGGTAGAGAGATAGGTAGTTAGATGGTATACCAGATGGACACACAGGTGTAAGTATTCTGAAGAAAAATAAAACAGACAAGTAGGATATAGCAAGTCAGGTAAGGTTTAAGAGATGCAGTTGGAACCAGGATGGTCTGGGAAGGCTTCACTGAGAAATTAAGCCAGTAAGTCAAGAGCTGAGAGAGGTGAAACCATAGGCCATATAGAAATCTGAACTGGGCTCAAGCCTGGCGAGGGTGGGGCACAGCAAGAGGCTACAGCAATGCCACTGGAATGGCCCCTGAGAGAGATGAAGGCAGCAGATGGAGACGCTTGATAAGTCCTTGTTGGGATGTCTGGGGACAGATGACTTGATGACTGTAAGATCTCGGAAAACGTAGCAATTACAACTACAATGTGTACAGGAAACATACTTATGATGTCATTAGTTTCTTTGCACACAATAATTTGGAATAAATAATTCTGTGAAGACACACAGGATATAGGGAAGAGGAAGGCACTGGAAACCTACCTTTGCAGAATCGGAAACATTATCCCAGTATGGAGAAGGAAAGTCCACTTGCCCCATCAAAATCTGATCAAAAAGCACTTCCTGGTCATCACCACTTCTGTTTAGGTGAACGACAACAAGGAAAAACAGCACTAAGATATCAACTCAGTGTACATCTTTTCAGTCTTAGGCACTGGAGCCCTTGCTTTCCCCCATAAATGTGTAAAAATGTGTATTTTTAAACAATTGAAAAATGTCAATGTGGAACTGCTTTGGTAAATTAAGAAAGAGTTTTTGGGCCGGGTGCGGCAGCTCACACCTGTATTCCCAGCATTTCGGGAGGCCGAGGCAGGTGGATCACTTGAGGTCAGGAGTTAAAGACTAGCCTGGCCAACATGGTGAAACCCTACCTCCACTAAAAATACAAAAAGTAACTGGGTGTGGTGGCATGTGCCTGTGATTCCAGCTAATCAGGAGGCTGAGGCAGAAGAACTGCTTGAACCCAGGAGGCAGAGGTTGCAGTGAGCTGAGACTGCGCCACTGCACTCCAGACTGAGCAAAAGAGAGACTGTCTCAAAACCAAAGGAAAAAAAAAAAGGAAAGAATGAGTTTTTAATGATATGGGGAAGAAATATGGAACGCATACAAATTAGCATGCACGATGTAACAGGGAAAAAATAACAGGGATTGCAAGTAAAGTTCTTGTGCTCTTTTCCTGCCTCAGGCTCCTTTGTGCAAGAAGGGCTAATGGATCATTCGGAGAATAGAGAAGTGCTTTGTCGGCGCTGAATAAAAGATGGTTGCCCATACCCACGGAATGGAGGGAAACCACACAGCAGGATATAAGTGATTACACCAGCTGCCCAGATGTCCACCTTGAGGCCGTATCTGGAAAAATAAGGGATGTTAGAGTTAGGAGAGTCAGGCGTGGAGAAATTATGCAGCTTGGTAAAATCAATGACTTTGCTCCTCCAAGCCAAAAATAAAACCAAACAAAATAACAATCCCAACAACAAACACTAAACTAAAACCCACCACCTAAACAAAGTTCAAGAAAAAAGTTTAAAAAGTAATAATTTAAAAAAAGACCAAGGTGCAGGAATAAAAAATCAAAGGAAGGCATGGATGGACTTATATGTAAATATCAATAAATGAAGAGTGTCGGCAAAAAGGTTTATTATAGTAATAACAATTCTGAGATAAGGATGCACCCTTGAGATAAACTCCCTCACTTTAGGAATAATAATTATTTCTAGAAAGTCTTCCAATTTATAGAGCACTGACATACATGATCGTACTTCGTTTTCCTAGCAACTCTGTAGGTTGGACAAGGCGAGTATTGCTTATTGTACAGAAGAGAAAACAAGTTCAGACGAGTGAGTAATTTTGCTTAAAATCACACAGTTAGTGTCAGAGCTGGTCCCCAATATGGTCTTCAAGACCCACCACTTCCTTCCAGCAGCAGGCAGAGTATGTCCCAGTAGAAAGTGTGGCTGTGCCCCAGGCAGCCCCACCTGAGGGAAGTCACACAAGGCTATGGATGTGGGCTCCCACCTCATTCAAATTTGCCAAGTAGCAAAGTCCTCGCTCCCTCATGTCTCACCTCAGGAATTTCCCTACTGGGATTCCCTTCTCATCTATTTGGTTTTTCTGCCCTTGTGGTCTATGGTACAACCAAAAACCAAACCAAAACAAAACAAAATCCCAAAAAACTATCTCCAACTGGTAACAGGGGAGAGCGCCACCTAGATTCCCAGCTGTGGACTGAAACTGCTAACGAGAAGAAAAAGTAGGGCTGCCTCCCCTTGGCGCCCCACCCCCCTATTCCTTCTGCTTAAGGATGGCACCTCAGAGTCTGGTAAGAAATAGGGCTTCTTACCAAAGGAGTCTTTGACTCAGGCTGACCGGAGTTCAAATCCTGACTCAGCCACTAAAACTAATCATGAGCTTACACGGTATCTAACCCATTAGAGTATCAATTTATTGAAATACAAAATGGGAATCATACCATCTACTGGAAGAGTAAGAAGTAAAGGAGTTTCAGTCCTGGCATATTGTGGGGCCTTAATAAGGAATAGGCTACCCTGCCCTTCTCCCCACATTCATCTGATTCTGCACACAGAAACCAGGAAATTCCCAATAGTCCCTGATGCCTAAGGGTGTTTGTACTCCACAGAAAATCAATGGATCCCCAAGAGGTCCCAAATGGGACCTGGACTGGAGGATAAGGGCAGTGGAGAGAAATAACCGCAGGAGACTGTAATCACCACACACGGCAGTGTCTGTTTCTTTTATCTCCAAATGAGAGTTAATTACCATCGCTGTGTGTTTCTGTTAGTCTGAACATTTTTTACTCTGGGGTTAATAACTTCTGTTCTACCTTTAACAAAGACCAAATGGAAGCCGTAAGATTGCAGTAATTGACAAAACAGATCGGGAAAACAGAGAAAACGGCTCCCACTGTAAATGTTAAAGAATAAAATAAATTTTAAAAAGAGTGAAAGAAACCTGATAGCTAATTATGCCTGGATAGGGCACAGCAGAACTCTTTTTCCTGTTCTTGAAGCCGGCTAGTTCTTTTGCAAGCACAGCACTTAAACATAAGAGAAGCATATACCCAGTCTCCGCAATGATTTCTGGAGCCACGTATGTGGGGGTGCCACAGACTGTGTACAGGGGGCCGTCTACAATGGTGGCCAGTCCAAAGTCACCCAGCTTCAGTGATTTGCTGCCATCTTGGTGCTCATATACCTAAAACAAAGGTAAAAAGCACAATTGTCTGAAAACCAAGAGCTCAAAAGTAATTTCTTGAAGAAATGAGGAACACTGTGTTTAAATTTAATGTATAGAAAGTAAAAAATAAATTAGGCAATTATGCAAGAATGGATATCCATACAACATATCTTACTTCCTTTAGATTACTGCAAAACTGGAAACATGGTGGACACCTAGCAAATGGAAATTGGTTAAATAAATTATAATACCTTCATACAACGAGAGGTTACATGACCTTACAATGGCGATATGGGTTTATAGTTATTGAATTATGTTTGGGAAATGAACAGAGTAGTTTTCAGATTGGTTTTTATAAAATGTCCATTAAAGAAAAAAAAAGTACATACAAGAAAAAAAGAAAAAGTCTGAAAGAACACAGTGTGGCTATATCTGTCTCTTGGTGGTAGGATTATAGGTTTTCTTAATCCTTTTGTTTATCTGTATTTGATATTGTCTATAATTAAAACTGATTTGCATAATAAAATGAAGTATAGAAAGTCACTAGTGCAGTGTCTTCGATCTGAAAACTTGCTGGGCGTGTTGGCTCACTCCTGTAATCCCAACACTTTGGGAGGCCGAGGCGGGTGGATCGCCTGAGGTCAGGAGTTCAAGACCAGACTGGCCAACATGGTGAAACCCTGTCTCTACTAAAAATACAAAAATTAGCTGGGCGTGGTGGTGGGCACCTGTAATCTCAGCTACTCGGGGGGCTGAGGCAAGAGAATCGCTTGAACCCGGGAGGCGGAGGTTGCAGTGAGATGAGATCAAGCCATTGCACTCCAGCTTGGGCAACAAGAGCGAAACTCAGTCTGGACAAAACAAAAAAGATACCTTAAAAATTAAATTCTTTAGTAACTGAATACAAAAAAACTACACTTATAGAAAAATACCTTATTTTCAGTGCCCCGTATTTTCAACATGATCTATTTACATTTCTTAAATTAATAATTGAAAGAGATATTAACATTTCATTTCACCTGTGGCAATTTGGAAAGATTTATCAGGTGCAGAGTCACCATCCTGTCCAGGTTTCCCTTATTAAGGCAGTAAAAATCTTCTCTCCTTCACCCAACAAATCAAGAAAAGGATGCATGTGACTGTAGGCAAGTATTTATACTCCTTTAATTCCAGCCACGATCAAAACAAATGGAGCTGCTCTAAAAAATATCCCAAATAACTTATTTTATTTCAAAGAAAAGATGAAAGGGCATTCAGAATCCTAATTCAGTGCCTTCTGTTAGAATGAATAAGATTAAGAAAAGAAAACCACAGTAAAAGGCTAGTAATTCCAGCAAGGGCAATCTTCCGGAGATGCCTCAAGGAAGCAGCCAAGTTTTCCACGTACATCAAAATACTTGATCCAGCAAGCCGAGGCTTGCATATTCTCCTGTTCTCACTCTGTGATCATCTGTTACTTGCTGCGGTAGTCTGAATCTCTTGCACAGCAAGGCACATCTCCACACATCAGGGGCACCGCTACTGTTCACACGCCATGTCTGCCTTCCTTTGGAAAAAGTAGATTAACTTTGCATTTCACTGCAACATAAAGTGCAGATGTTTGGCCAGCTAAGCTGCAATATCAGCAATGATCATTTGGATCCAACAGTTTTGGCAGAAGCAGGCAGTCAAATCCTCCTATCTGGAGAGACCGTGTCTTTTCTGAGCGAAAATATTCTTTTACATTTTCTCCATACTCATAGCATGGAGTCTTATTCCCAGGAGCTGTTGATCGGGATCGAGTTTGGGCTGCCCTCTGGCAGGTATCTGAAGGCTTGTGAGGTCACCCGTGCTTGGGTTGTTAGGGCAAAAACAGCCCTCACAGATGTGGCTTTGTCCAGCTGTCATCTGGGATGGACATTTTCTTCCTTAGTTAAGGAAGCAGCTGTCCAGCCTTGGTCACTTAGAGTTAAGTTAAAAACTTTGAGGCATCACAGCTGCAAAACACAACATTGGCCCCAGCCTAACTGTTCTTAGGCAAAAAAAAAAAAAAAAAAAAAACAAAACAAAAAAACCCGTAAGTTGTAGTCTTACCATGTCACCCATTCTGGTCATCCAAATGACAAGCAAATGTTTTTCATGAAAAGAAATCTGAGATGGAAACATCTAGTAGATGGTCTAGTTGATTTCCGAGGCAGAGCAGAATTGTTTACTTCCTTAATTCCATGTTGCTAACAATCACCTTTCTAAAATGCAAAATAATCTCTTGCTTTGATGTTCTGCTAGGTCCAAACATTCATTCAGTGTGCTTTGTGAGGTGATGCAGATTATGATTTATTCCACCCCCTTGATGCAGGAATTTTGTAGCTTTTTTCTTCAACACAGTATCTATATCATGTAACTGTATTCAAAAGTTTGACAAAAGCAGATGTTGGTGGATTCAGTCATAAGTCCCATTTTAGTTCTAAATATGACCTTGTACTTCTCCTACATGTAGGAAAAGTTTTCTTTTTGAACATCTACATTTTAAAAGACATTCCATCTAACATAAAGCCATAGACCAATTATATTTAATATGAATGAACAATATAGTTCAAAGTTTCAATAACTAAGAAAAAAATCACTAAAAATCTTCCTTAAAATAAAGAAAATAAGTACTAATAAAAAAGTATTATTAAAAGTAATATAGGTCTACAAAAACCAAAACCATTAAATACATAGAACCATAATTGTGATGTTCTTTTTATTCCCTGTACAGCTGTCTTTTAATCACTTGCACAGTGTCCCCCACTTTTTTTTTTTTGCTTTAAAAACCACATAGTAGGATTTTCATGAACATAAAGAGGTTCAAATGATGCTTAGGAGAGAAAATGAGAGTGTAAAGACAAAGGCCAATTCCACGTAACTGAAACCATATCTAGACACAAGTACATTTGAAATGCTGCAACAAAATGTTTTTGCAGGTGAATAAATGTCCAGTCCTCTAGTTTGGAATTCTGTTTAACTTACTGTCAGGCAGGGCAGGAAACAAGGTCACTCTGGTTTTTTCTCTGTCAACACTTTGGGAGAAGGATGGAGAAGAATATACTTCAGTGTTTCTTCTCCAATGGGAGAGCCCTTTCCTCAATGGTTTAAGAAGCCCTCTCACAACGGGAGCTCTTCATTAGCACCTGCTGCAGCCTAAGCTACGTGCACCCTTATCTCTTACCAAGCCAGTTACAAAGGGGCATGACTGAGGCCATTTGAAAATGTAATTAAACATTTGTTTAAAAATCACAGATTGCTAAATACATCCATTTAAAGCCCGCACATGCGCACACACGCGCATACACACATATCCTCTCAAAACCATCTCCAGAAAGTATTATTCCAAATGGCAGCCATAAATCCACTTTGAACTAAATTTTTAATTAAAAGTTAGAAATCAGAAAGGCTTCTAACAAGTTCACATTGAAAATGCCAAATCCTTGGCTTAGACTACTCTCTGGATTGACTTGTTACTTGGCGTTCCTCCTTATTCTGACCATCTTTCAGAAAGGGCATGAGCAGGCTGCAAGCACAGGCTTGGACAGACTGGTCCAGCTAGTGGAGCTCTGGTGTAAGAACTTTTTGCCATAACTGTGTTTTAAAGCCTCTATAAAACGTGACCCACATGTGAAGCAGAGTACATTAATTGTCAGTCAAGAAGTATTCACAACATGAGGTATGATTTAATGTTCATCCCTGGTCCTTTAAGTGCTATAGATGTTCCCCCACATTTTAAACACCAAGGGGCTATTAAAGGGACAGGGATTAGTGCAAATCACCCAGTATGTAGTGCTTTCACTGTTTTAACTAAGCAATAAAACTGTGTAATTGTACAACACTAATTGAATGCAGCTACACATAATTGTGGGCTGCCATATGTATCCTATTACCATAAAGACTGTCAGTATTTTGTAAGCTACTCTTGTGATCATTGCAGATGGCTACAGTCAGAGAAGTTGTTCTCTAGGGTTTATTATATGGCTATAAAGACATCCTATGATTTGACAGACTAAATGTGTTAAATGGCAACAATTATGAAAAAGGTTCCAATTAAAAGCTGAAGGCATAACCAACCAAGAATGGATATAACGCAAGGTCAGGTATGTAGATTTTCGGGCACACTGGTATTTTGCACAGCATTGTTTTTGAAAGAAGGGTTTTATTTTTTATTTATTTATTTATTTATTTTTGTTTATTTGGGGTTTTGCATTAGCTGCAACTTACCGAACAGTAGATCTTTAGGCATATGTTTGATTTCCCTTGGATGGGAAACTGAGACCATTTGGAAAAGTTATTTGAAAAAATAAAACATTTAATATATAGTCATAAAATGCAGCCGGTGGCCATAAAATCATATGAAAACTCACAGATAACCTGAACCCAGTCAAAAGGTTTCTGAGATTCCCATCATATGGCACTAAAAGCTGACTAATATAACAGATGTGTTGGAACAAACATAATTCTCAATGTTTCCATGAATCCAAGGGTAACCCTGATGAAACATTGGCTAATGAATTATTAGTAACCACTGAAAACTATTTCACAGAGGAGCTCAGTAGGTATTAAAAATTATTTCACCAAATAGAATTGAACAAAAGTGGCATGAAATTGACAAAGCCATGAGAAAAGGTCAATTTACTTTTTAACATATATGGTATCTCTTTAAGAAGACATTGATTTTCCTCCAGCTACGGTATATGGCCTTTATGATACTTTCTGAGGAAAATGGATTTAATTTAAAGCTTTAACCTTTAAGAAATGAAATATAACAACATTTAAGCAGGGAGTCATTTTGTAGAATTATGCCCCACATACTTTTGAATTAAATCTCCTGGAAAAATGTAATAAAAGAATGCTATACCTACATGTAAAATATTTATGAAATCAAAAATTAAATGAAATAATAAAAACAATGAATGTTGTGCAGATGTCAGAAAGGAGTAATTCATAAGAGAGGTAATTAAAGGAAAAAGTAAAATTGGTCTTCAATATTACACTGGAGATATCTGGGA